CGATGTTGGAAATAAATAAATGAAAAAGAATGGAAGAGTTCTTAATCATATTAACAGCATACTAATTGTATAGAGTGTTTAATCTTTAATCAATCTGAAAACTAACTTTTTTCTGGAGCACGTGATTAATCAATTAAGGTTTGGTAAATTGATTTCATTAACAATCAATTAACTTATCTTTACTCATTAGATAAGCATACAAATTATGTTTGGAGCTTATGCTTTAATTAATTAGAAAATACATTGGTTTCTTGTGGTGATGATAAGTAAATTATTATATGGAAATAAGATAATAAATAAAAATGGTAATTTGAGTATGTAGTTACTTAGACAGTTTAAGAATCTGGATGCAAATTGTATTTTATAAATGATGATTAATTAATTTGGGTGACTAGGAATAAAGTAAGCAAGGATTGTATCAGCATATTTGAACTAAGAAATGGAAAATATCAAGAAAATTTGGATAAGGAAGTAAAACTAATTAAAAATGATGATATTTCTGATATGCCTGCATTTCCTATTTTTTATAATAAAGAAAAGAATTTGATGATAGTTAGGCACAAATAACATGTTTATTTGATAAAAATAACAAATGAAGGCTAATTAAAAATAATTACATAGATAAAATATGAATCAAATTCTATTCATGGAGCATTAAGTAATGACGGGAAATATTTAGTAACTTGGGATAAGGTTGGACTGAAATATCAGACATATCAAATATTGATTGATTGAATATTCAAAAAATAAATCATAATTATTCAAATTATATTGTTTAAAATATACCAAATAATAAATATAATATTAGATTCAAGTTTATTGATAAATATCTTGATATAAAAATAGTCAATATTGAACAAAATAAAAATATTTTAAAATTTCTTTAGAACTATTTTAAATAGAATCTGTTTTTAAAAATTTATCAACATTCATGATAAATGAAAATAGTTTAGAATTTGGAAAAATGAGCAACATTACAAAAAACAAAGCTTCAAATGAATGTAATCCATAATTTGTTAGCTATTAGCAACATCATA